CCCTGCGTGCGGCCCGGGGCTGGGAGCTTGCTGCTGCGGGTCCGCCCCCCGCTCCGTCCTAGTGGGCGGGAGTCTCACCCTCGGCCACCCCCTCTCTCTCCTTCTCCTTTAAATAACGTTAACAATGTGCACCGGTATTTCAGAACGGGGTGCAGGGTGCATCTTTAACTGGGAGAGTCTCTGCAAACAACTGCCGGACTTTACACCCTCTTTTGGATTAGCAGGCGAGGGAGGTGGCTAGGAAGCAGGACTGATTTTCAAAGAACAAAATTTGGCCAACGCGCTCAATTATTGTTTCACAGACTTTTAGTTACAAAGAAAAATGTGATAAATCAAGAACGACACCTAATGTATAATAAAATACGCCTTTGTATCAGACAGCTGTCCCGGAATTTGTTTAGGATTCGAAATTTAAATTTGCCACAGTTGTGTAGAACGTTCTTTACTCCTTCAGATTTTGGGGTTGTAGTCACTGAACCTTGAAACCAGCTTGTAGGAAACAGTCTTCAAGTGTTGGCAGCGGGAATGTCACCAGGTGTTAGACTCCTGGGGTCCCTGGACCTGGGTTCAGCAACCTGGGTCCTTGAGTTCTGGCTAAGAAAGAATTCAGAGGCAAGACTCAAGACACAAACTATACGATAACCTTTATAAAATCACAGAGGTGGAAGAAGTAATTCATGGAAGAAATACGCTTCAGTTATAGAGGCAAAGAAAGGGCCCCTGGAGCTTAGAAGGAAGGAGGGTAAAGGTAATGAGCCTGGCAGCTGGGGGATGGTGAGGTGGAGGGAGAAGGTGGAGGCAATGGTCTGCTCCAGGGAAGGAGAGGCAGTGGGTCCCCTGTCCTGTGGGTTTTAAGGGTAGAGCTTTTAGGGGAGGTCCCAGGGGAAGATCTCAATAGACTGTTCAACAGCTTTCCAGGTGTATCCTTTCGGGGTCAGGGTCTCCACTGATTGATTGCTGGGCGCCAGGGCAGGGAGTCATTATTCAGTGTAGTTGGTCCTGAGGTCCGTGTGGCATTGCTTGTCTGGTTTTGCTGCTTTTCTGAGCTCGAAGCTGAAATACAACTGAGGCCTAGTTATCTCAAGGGAAGAAAGGTCAGGGAGTCTAAACCATATGACCAGTGATATGCTAGGGGGCAATGGTCACTCTGGGAACGAGGTGCTACCCTAGAATTGTCCTTTGCTAGGTACCCCCGGCTACCCCCCCTGGGACCTCTGTACCTGCCCCATCATCCTTGCTCTGCCCATGTGTGTCTAACCACCTACCACAAAAGAACTTAAACTCATTCATTCTTTGCCTCATGGATAGCCTGTGCTTTTCAGCCTATACATGTTCTTGCAGCTGCCACTCCTCACTCTGTTTTGCAACATGCCTAGCCTAGAGTGTTAACGTAAGAAACATTTAAATAATATTTTTTGAGTTTATTTGAGCATAGTACTGGAAGTCCTAGCCACAACAATCAGGCCAGAAGAAGAAATAAAAGGCATCCATGTTGGAAAGGAAGCAGTAAAACTTATTATTTGCAGATGACATGATACTGTATATAGAAAACCCTAAAGGTTCCATAAAAAAAACCTACTAGAACTTATAAGTAAATTCAGTAAAGTAGCAGGATACAAAATAAATATCTAGAAATCAATTGCGTTTTTATACACCAATAATGAATTATCAGAAAGGGAAACTAATAAAACAATTCTATTCACAATTGCTTCAAAAAGAATAAAATACCTAGGGATACATTTAACCAAGGATAGAAATGACTGGTACTTGGAAAATTATAAGACACTGAAACAAGAAATTGAAGAAGATACAAATAAGTGAAAGCATATACCATGTTCATAGATAGAATTAACATCATTAAAATGTCCTTACTACCCAAAGCAATCTACAGATTCAGTGCCATTCCTATCAAAATGCCAATGATGTATTTCACAGAACTAGAACAAAAAGTTACATGGAAACACAAAAGACTCCAAATAGTAACAGCGATCTTGAGAAAGAAGAACAAAGTTGGAGGAATCACGCTACCAGATATGTAACTATACTACAAAGCCATAGTAATCAAAACAGTGTGGTACTGGCATAAAAACAGACATATAGATCAGTGAAACAGAATAGAGAGCCCAGAAATAAACCCATGCCTTTATAGCCACATTAATATTTGACCAAGGAGGGAAAAACATGCAATGTGGTAAAGATAGTCTCTCCAGTAAATGGTGTTGGGACAATTGGACAGATGCATGTAAAACAGCAAAACTAGACCACCTTCTTACACCAAACACAAGAATAAACTCAAAATGGACTCAAGACTTGAATGTTAGATTCAAAACCATAAAAATCCTAGGAGAAAACATAGGCAGTAAAGTCTTGGATATTTCTTGTAGCAATATTTTTTTCTGATATATTTCCTAGGGCAAGAGAAACAAAAAGGAAAATAAACAAATGGGACTACATTAAACTAAAAAAGTTTTCCACAGCAAAGGAAACCATCAACAAAATGAAAAGACAACCCACTGAATGGGAGAACATATTCGTCAGTACATCTGATTAAAGGTTAATATCTGAACTTTATAAAGAACTTACAAAACTGAACACCAAAAAACCCCCCAAACAATCTAATTTTTAAATGTATAAAGAACCTGAATAGACACTTCTCCAAAGAGGACATGTAGATAGCCAATAGACATATGAAAGGGTGCTCACTGTCACTAACCATCGGAGAGATGCAAATTAAAACCACAATGAGATATCATCTCACACCTGTCAGAATGATTATCATCAATAAATAAACAAAGAAGTGTTGGCGAGGATGTGGTAAAGACAACCCTTGTTCACTGTTGGTGAGAATACAGACTGGTGTAGCTACTGTGGAAAGCAGTATGGAGTTACCTCAAAAAATTAAAAATGGAACTGCCTTATGACCCAGCAATTCCACTTTTGGGAATTTATCTGAAGAAACCTGAAATACTAATTCAAACGAATATATGCACCCATTGTAGCATTATTAACAATAGCCAAAATTTGGAAGCAGCCCAAGGGTCCATCAGTAGATGAGTGGATAAAAAAAGCTGTGGTACATTTACACAATGGTATACTACTCTGCTGTAAAAAGGAAGAAAATTTCTCCTTTTGGGAGAGCGTGGATGGACCTGGAGAACATTATGCTAAGTGAAATAAGCCAGTGAGAGAAAGACAAGTACCATATGATTTCACTCATGTGGAATTTAATGGACATACTGAACTAACAAGCAAAACAAAAACAATCTCATAGATAGAGAGCAGGCAGATAGCTCTGGGGCAGGGGTGGGAGTAAAGGGGTGGTGGAGGGGTAATGGTGGGGAGGGGAGGGGGATTGAGCAAAAAAGAAAACAGAGAAAGTACTCATGGACATAGACAACAGTGTGGTGATTACGAAGGGGAAGAGGGTATGGGGGATAAATGATGATGGAAAAAATAAAATTGTTTTTGCCTTGGGTTAATTGATTTCAATTAAAGAACTATTTATAGAGTACTTAGTATGTATAAAGCTTAGTGATCATCAGTGCAAAAGTACAAAATGGATAGGAGATAAATACTGTATAAATAATAAGAATCCAAAGCTGAATAAAGTGAATGTCTTAAGGACAACAACAACAACAACATCTGTGAGTTAAGGTCACAGAAATAATACCCAGTTAGAAAATAAGAAATAAATTCATTGAGAACTGGCAATTTAATGGAGACTTGAAGCAGGGGTAGGATTTTAGCAAATGATGTTGGGAAAAAGTACATAATGAGAAGGAAGGAACATAAATTAGAGCTTAGAGGAGAGATAGATACAAGGGTAAATTCTTGGGCAAACATTTCAGTACTAGAGGCCTGGTGCACGAATTCGGCATAGGTGGGGTCCCTAGGCCTGGCCGGCGATCAGGGCCAATCAGGGCCAGGCCAATTGGGGCCTGCTGGCCACGGGGAGGGATGGGGCGCGGGAGGTTGGCTGCCAGCTCTGAGGAGGGAGCTGGCCTTTGGCCCCCATGGGAAAGGGATCCACCACCACCCAACCCCGGTTCCCTGTCCCAGCCCAGGGCTAAAGGTGACGGTCGCCAGCCAGCAC